TGTCCAGGAACTATAATATATCATTTATTTAAAATTTTGCATAATATTCAATGAAATCAAGTAAAAATTATTTAAAGCAGGAGTTATCTTTCTTAGTACAAGAATTTCAGAGCATTAAGTGTAGATGACTACTGGTAATGGATAAAAACCTCTAGAGATCAATGATGATATAGGTGGTATTTATTACAGTGATAATCCTCTAAAGTGCCTTAATTATGCAAGAAGTTCTGATGGAAAAGGGGAGTCGTACCTTCTTAAGTGCCGTGTTATACTCGGAGATCAGAAGGTTAGAATACATTAATGTCATATAATGAAACAGAATAGGCTCCACAAGTTTTATGTATTTTTGAGATGTCAGCGATCAAGATGCCCGTCGTGGGCAGATACCGCTTTGATTGCCATTGGACTGATAGGTCAGTTAATAGTTGAACAGCTGACTGGAATGTCACCTCTTTTGCTTATTTCTAGGGCATCCAACTTAACAATGTTGCTCACAATATTGTTATTATCAATTGGTATGAAGCATATTAAATCAGCACACAAGTTTGAAATGTGTAAGCTATTTAAACCAAAAAAGGTTATGGATAGCACAACAGCCCCCCCCCCCCCCCCCCCCCCCCTCCTTTCAGAATTCATGGATATAGCAAAGTTATCTTGGATCCCCACCTATATAAATTTAACGAGTTTTATTGTAATCTTCTTTCTATAATCTGTGACTCAGAAAAGACAATAAAAATTAATTAACTTAATCATTTAACATCAGTGATGCCTTAAATTATGCTTTATATTTAATGCAGATTAAGTTTGTTCAATTCATGACCCCTTGGCTAGGATGTGACCACATAATAGGACCAATGCTAGTAGTAATGTTTTATCTTTGAAATGATATTGTCCTACAGAAGCACTTTAAAAATAGAAAAAAAATAAACCTCCAACTCACTGCATTTTACTTTGATAAATATAGAGAGTTTCGAATGTCAACCTGACATGTTAATTCGAAGCAAGAAAAAATGTTGAGAAAATATGAGATGATATTTTGTCTTTATATGGAATATTTTTGGGGCAGTTAAAATGCATATACAATCTCTATGGGAAGTATTCTAATTGGGAAGTATTCTAATTGGGGTGAGGACAGTGGCCCTTTTCACAAAAACATCTTATGATTAAGACTAAATTATTCCTCCATTCGACATCAAATATCTAAGCTGTGAAAATATTATTTTTTCAATACATTTTATTAATATATTATGATTAAATTGTACTTAATTATTTTTGAAATAAAAATTACAGAGTGGTGAAATTTTGATTTTAGTCTTAAGATTTTTTTTGTGTGAAAATGGCCTGAGGTTAGCAGACTCATTAGATTATTCAACATTGTAAGCTAAAATAGCTGTTAAATTATTTTTTTAAATTTGAATCAGTGTTATAGAAATGGAGAATATAATACCACACTGAAGAGAGAACCCCCGAAGGAGAACCCCAGGCCAGGATCCTCAAAGTTCTATGATTCTGTCATGGTGAGTAGTATTTGTTTCAGTCGATTCTTTAAAATAAAAGTGTAATGTTTCTGTCATGGTGAGTACTAATAATTACAGCAAATCCTTTCTAATTGACTGGTAATACTAACTGGTTTAATTAAGTAAGAATTGAATATACTACAGTAAAAGGACGACATTTTTTCTTTATGAAAGGAAAGATTTTGGTACACATGTATACACAACATATGGATAACTGTGGATATAAGACAATTTTTTCTGTACTATGAACATTATAAATGCTAAAATTACAACTGTAATTGAAGGTCTTACTTGAAATACTTTTATAGTAATTAATAATTATCATAATATTGATTATCTGAATGGTTGTACTCTTCAGACAAATATGAGATAGTCAAAGCATCTTAATTAATGAGCAATTAATAATTTTTTTTTTAGTAGAGCATGATTATAAATTTTGTAAAAATTCAAAGATAAACCTATTATTATTTGTGTTACATCTTCAGTTTGTGATTTTTCTGCTCAGAATCCATTTGCGACAATTAACTTATTGTCATCGACAAGGCAATTAAACTTTTATTTGAATAAATAAATGGCACTTGGTTTGCAGCGATAAATATTCACATTATTTGAAGTAAAAGAAAGTCATGAAACTCGTGATACAGTGTATTTCATGCTCAGGAATAAAATTTCGTGTACAGTATATGACAAGCTTATAGATCTACACAGTTTTTTTTTTCTCTACAGGGTTGTCCAAAAGACTACAATGAATATGTAATCTATGAGAACAGAAGAGCGATGATTGATTACATCATTACCTTCAAGGTCAACCAGCAAGGTCAAGACTCGTTACGAGAAAGGATCCCTAGTCCTATATTTGACAGTCAGGGGAGAGGTAAGATGATCTACGATTTGTCGTATTTTTCATGGAAAACTCGAGACTATGAACCAAGATGAGGAATTTTCATTCCTTCTAATCTTTTCTCTAGATTTTAGACCCTAAAAATACTTTCAACATTATCACTCCATTCTTACAGTCTTTTTAAAAATTTTTTGCAGAGACTTAACCCAGACCCCCTACTTTTTCTCAACTTTTAAGCGTTTATTTTATTGGAGGTCACACTCATCAAATGAAAATCATATCCAACCACAAACCTTGTGGAGATTTTTAAATGTGTCAATGTTTTAGACACTTTTTTGATATATTGCGTTCTTCATATGCAAAAATATTTTATCACATCATAAGTGTTAATATAAATATAATATAAAATGGCAGATATTATGTCTACTACATTAGGATTATATGTGAGAAATTATCATCTCTCCATAAGTCAACTTGATACGGTTTACCATTCTCACTCCCATACACAAAGAGATTATATATAAAAATCATTTTTTTATAAAAATTTTTACACATGCATCTTGATTTTTGCCACCAAGTTCTTCAAACATTACTTTTATCTCATCTACATATATATATAGTTACACATAGTCTTCACACCATTTGTTGCTCTGGCATGCATTAATATAGCATTTGGTATCACCTACTTCCATTCTAGACCAAAACAACTTAACTATAATCTATCTAATCAGTCAAGGCCATCATGGAAACAAGTTATGTTTTAAAGCAATATGAGCTGCAATTTTGAAAATTTTATTTTGCTGTCAAGATGTGTTGTTATGATTAATTTGTATGTAATGTAAACTTTTATGACCAATTAAACTAAAATAAAGCAGAAGAAAGACTTCTATATACAATCCAATATACAATTTTATATAAGAAATCCTTGTTGTACAGGATGACAGTAATGTAATTTTGATTCAATCAATATAAATAGTTCTTCCATCGCAAATATGAACAACAGAAGTTTAACTTTATTTTTTCAGTCATTGAAATAATTATTTACAATTTTGCAACAAAAAATTCTGACATCAAAGTTGAAGCTCATATTGCTTTAAATAATTTGTTTAAGTTATTAAATGTCATTATTTTAGGTTATCTTTCCCAGATTATGCTTTTCTTCAGTAACCTATTCCAGTTATTGATACTTTACAATTCATTATTGTAAATCTACTGGTATCTGAAAAGCTTTATTCATGATGTACTTGGGCTATTAAGTAGATGGAAGGGGTTCATGACAGTAAAAGTTATCTTTCTTTAAGATTTAACAAGTTGAAATTCAACAAATCATAACTTATTTTTGTTATTTCAACCTTAACCCACCTCACTTTAGAACTCTTGCCCAAAAATCTACAGCTTTTTACAAAAAATTTAAGACAGAGAGATTGTACAGTTATGTCCAAGGATTTTAGGAAAATTAGTCTCACTTTTGGCAAAATTGGTGGAAGTTGTGTAATTGACCTCTGAAATGTTTACGAAATGGAATTATTTTCCCTTAAAAATATCATGATATTTTGATAATTATCATCCTATCTGACCAGGAGATATAAAATCTGTTGAGTCTATTAAAAGAAAAACATATATTTACAACTTTCTCAGCCTTACATCATCTTAAACTCAAAATATTGATGTTTTTTTTGGCAAAAATGATAGGCATTTTAAGTTTTAAGAGTTAACTCAAATGAGTTATTTCTTTGTTTAGTAATAAATAAGTGAAGTAACCTATTTAGAAAAGTTATTTTTAAAAAATAACTTGATTCCATCATGCCCCTGACTGTTAATTTCATGGGTTACTCATTTATACAGAAGATTTAATGAATCAATATGTCCACAATGTAAATGTTCATGGCCAGTTATGGGGATGTAAGTTCATGGGTAATGGGGACCCCTGAAATCTACAAACATTGGTCTCTCTCAAACTATGATGATTCTGCAGAATTGTTGGCACCTTTCAGAACAAGTATTCTGAGTGAGTCCTTGCTCTACCCATTAATATGTCAAGTTTAAGCTTGCAATCTTGGATCACCTTTTTAGAGACAGGTTTAATTGGAATAAAGACACCGGCCAATGAAGATGATCATTTTGACAGAATAAGCCAGGTCAGAGAGGCCATCAGAAGAAAGAGATGTGAGGAGAGAGGACAGGAATATTCCCCACCTGATGAGGTATGTGGAGAGAGAGATAAGATGAGAGAGGGGGGATATTCGCCATTAGAGAGGTATGTGGATAGAGAGAAAAACAAAATAGAGAGAGAGAGAGGAGGCAGGAATATTACCCTCCTGATGAGGTATGTAAATAGAGAGAAAATCAAAATGAGAGAGAGAGAGAGAGAGAGAGAGAGAGAGAGAGAGAGAGAGAGAGAGAGAGAGAGAGTCAGCCTGATGAAGTATCAGGATTGAGAGAAAAACCAAATGAGAGAAAGTCATAGTATAGCCTGATGAGGTATTGTGAATAGAGAGAAAAAACAAATTCTTTATAATGCAGGAGAGAGAGAGAGAGAGAGAGAGAGACCTGGATTTCCTGATTATGCATAGACTAGAGGGGGAAGGTGGATAAGAATATCCCTATCAGTAAGAATTAATTGGAGAGTAATAGATGGGTAAAGAATAAAATTCATATAATATTCACCACAAAACTCATTTTATTATTTAACTTTATTCTCAAGCTGTAAAAAGCAATTGATCTAAGTAGCTATGGTTCTCAGCAACACATACCCATAAATTTAACCCCAGTTTTGCTTTTGGGAGTTGTACACCTTCTTATGGTGTGAGGTTTCTAAAAAAAAATTGAAGGACTGTGCAAATCTATATGTATGAGGGTTGATCCAAAAGTTCGTGGAATTTCTTTAAAAATTTTTATCGTGATTTGATGAAAGCCAACAACAGGCATATTTATAATATAGAGTCATAATGTAACGGAATATTGGAAAATTTCACCACTTTCCAATTATCAATAAGGTCATATGAGCTTTTGCAAAATGGATTGTTGTGAAACCCGGAGGAGACTTCGACGTTACGTCAAGCTTGATATGTCACGTCAATTATAGAAGCATCTCGCCCTAATGCCCAATACGTAATTCTACAAAATGCTGCCCCTTTCTCCTGTTTTTCCCAAGAAAAGCCTGCCGGGGTATCCTCTTGCACCAGCTTATCTTCATTTTTCACTCATACTTCGAAATACCATACTTCCCATATCTTTCCATGTGATGTTTCAATTTCAGTAGCAATGTCAAGAACAGTTCGTCAGCCAACCACGTCCATTAACGCTTTCAATTTCTCTAGGTAGATAAACCTCCAAAAGGTGGTCACACCTTTAATCAACGTCCATGGAAGTTCCATTTTACTTACATTTCTTATGCCACTTGAAAACCAGTAAATGCATTTTTCCCCAGCCTATGTCAATAATATACACGTTTAAGCTAGAGTGATCCCGGGATTTTCAACAAAACTTATGACTTGACAGAAATTTGACAGTGTCTAACATCTTAAAGATGAACAATAAATCACCAACTAATAACCTAAATATCCAGTAAAATCAGTAAAACTCACACAAAGTTTATAAAAGATTAAGCAATCGTAATAATGACATAATTTTCGTTTTATATACCACATAGGTCGGTTTTATACTCATTTCACATATTAAGAATTAAAATGATGATAAACGCTTTAATGTCTCCCCCGCATTTCCAAACAAGCGTTTCCATGGCAACTGCATAGAGTTACTATTCATAAATATTTAAAATGTTTTTTTTTATTTAAAATAATCAACATGTGCCTATATTGTCATTTGTAATTTTCAACCGATTTCACTTAAAAATAAATAAAATATGAAGAAATTCCACGAACTTTTGAATCAACCCTCGTAGAAGAGACAAAAAAGAAAGATTAGGACATTACACTTATTCATTGTAAAGTTACATGTAGTGAAAGTGAGGAATAAGGCAATGAAGCCATTATAAGGAAGAATCTCACTGTGGGACATGACATTTGTTCCTTGGGATGAGACCTTATAAATTGAGGTCTTGTGTTGCTGCCACAAAAAAGGTCCTTTGCCGATCAGTGACCCTGTGTGCGGAGAATAGGTATAAAATATCCAGCCTCCCAAGGGCAAGTGACGGCATCTCAATGTGATTGTAAAGTCCTTGAAATGGAGGGTAAACAAACTTACCAACAAACAAATAAAACATTATAAGGAGACTAGAGAGAAATATAGAGAATGCAAGGTGATAATTTATTACCTCCACAGAGCTTAGGTCAGAGAGCTTAAGTAGGATTGATTGTGCAAAGTGAATAGTTAGGTACTATATTATGTAAATCATTTTGGGTTGTTTTTGTCCTTTTACTCTTGCAAATGACATTTGCCAAGTTTGGATATGCCAATAAACAGTTGTTTAGAAGAGATATAATTACATCTGTTGAAAAAATTCTCCTCATTTTAAATCAAGCCCATATTTAAATTTACTCTTGAAAGAAGAGGGAAGAATAGACAAGAAACAAGATGTGTTTGTGAAACACTATGCGCCCGACTGCAACAAAGTTCGAAAAAAGCTATTTTTAGCATATAGGTCAAGGTCACAAGGTTAATGACCTTGGTATCATTGGAAAGAACTTAATTAATAGAGTGTGCACACAAAATATGAAGTCTCTATCTTTCATGGTTTAAAAGTTACGGCGAAGGTTAAATTTTGCAGAGAAATTATTTTTAGCATATAGGTTGCAGTCAAGGTCACAATGTCATTGACCTTGATGTCATTTGAAAGAGCTTCATTAGTGGAGTATTCATACTAAATATGAAGTCTCTGTCTTTCATGGTTTAAAAGTTATGGCGAAGGTTAATGTTTACAGACAAACAAACAAGCAAACAGACAGACAGGACAAAAACAATATATGCCCCAGATCTATCGATCCGGGCGCATAAAAAGGGGAAATACAATTACACATGAATCTATATACATACAGTATGTTCACTGTTTTAAGAGAGGGTAGGAAGAATTGAATTAATTTTTTAATGCTTCATTTTTTCCCCATTTCTGTTAACAAATGTTTTTGTTTGAAGGAAAAGAAAATGAAGGACAAAGAAATGTGGTTAAGACTACAGAAATTACATAATGTGGATGAAAAAACACTACCAAGTTTGGAAGAGGTTAGTTATGTACATGCATCATCATAATGATGTATGATCGGATTTTGCCTTCAACCGTCTAAATAATTGTATTCATATTGCATTGGCAAATGCTTCGCAAAATAAATGAATTTGATTAGAAGCATTAAAGTATTTGATCCATCCCAGTTTTCTGCTGAAAATAAAGTTTGACATCAGTTACTCACAAAAGGACAAAACACAAGTGCATATCCCCTCGAAGTTTTAAACTTGGTTCTTGTGAGGTATGATGTATCTGCCAGTGTGTAAGCCTGATTATTATGCATTTTATAACTTCAGAAAAAAGCCAGAATGAGACATGCGGCCAGTGAGCCTCAGTTTCAGCCGGAGGATCTAGAGGGAGCGTTCACAGAATCCACCACTAACACCACAATGCTTCCGCATTCCCAGAGCTTTACCTGTGGTCTGTATATTTCGGAAATTGAAATGAAAAAAACATGCACCTCTTTACCACTTGTTGAATTGTGTAAATCAGCAACACTTTTACGAGGGTTGTGGCTAAACAAGCAAATTTAAAGAACTGTCGTCCCCTGTTTTCGGTGTCTTGATGGTAATACATGAAATCCCACAGTGTTGGAAAACAGGGTGTCAATGTATCGCACTCAGATAATATCCCCAAAGAAAGAAAGAGGCAAAGTTAATAAGATGTATATCCAAAATCCTTACAAGCACATATAGTCTGCATTCAGATGTGTTCAAATCAAGTTCTGTGCTTTTGGACAGTATTTAAATAAAGCATCGCAAGAAAAATTTTCCAGTATAAAAGACGTACAATTTTTATAAAGACTTGTAAGCTTCCAAAACACAAGATTTGCTCTATACTCTGATTCAACATTTTGTTCAGTTGTTTCAAATAAATTGTTTCCTCTGAACTGAGATGACTTAAAATGAGGCTAAGTTCCTTGTGAATTACAATAATGTACATATGTTAATGATAAGGAATATAGAAGATGGCATCGTTTTAGGTATGGGAGATGATGATGTAGAGAAAGTGATGACGTCACTTATTGCCGAATTTGTGGAGGTGACAAGTTGTGACAACTCAGAAACTGCTCGATACTACATAGACAAATGTCAAATGAACATTGACCAGGCCATTGTTTGTTACTATGATGACATGCCTTAGTTATCTTCTTAGATGAAGAGTTCCAAATTCTCCAAGAAGAATAATCCTTAATTTGTTTTTAGCTCACCTGAGCTGAAGGCTCAAGTGAGCTTTTCTGATCAAAATTTGTCCGTTGTCTGTCGTCGTTGTTGTCGTCGTCGTTGTCGTTGTTGTCGTCGTAAACTTTTCACATTTTCATCTTCTTCTCAAGAACCACTGGGCCAATTTCAACCAAACTTGGCACAAAGTATCCTTGGGTGAAGGGGATTCAAGTTTGTTCAAATGAAGGGCCACGCCCTTTTCCAAGGGAAGATAATCATGAATTTGTTAAAAATTAATGGCATTTTTAAAAAATCTTCTTCTCCAGAACCGCTGGGCCAGGAAAGATGAAACTCATGTGGAAGCATCCTTAGGTAGTGTAGATTTAAGTTTGTTCAAATCATGACCCCCGGGGCAAGGGTGGGGCCAAAATGGCCGACCCAAGGTTTACATAGGAATATATAGGAAAAATCTTTGAAAATCTTATCAAGAACCACTGGGCCAGGAAAGATGAAATTCATGTGGAATCATCCTCAGGTAGTGTAGATTCAAGTTTGTTCAAATCATGACCCCCCGGGGCAAGGGTGGGGCCAAAATGGCCGACCCTAGTTTTACATAGGAATATATAAGAAAAATCTTTAAAAAATCTTCTTCTCCAGAACCGCTGGGCCAGGAAAGATGAATCTCATGTGAAATCATCCTCAGGTAGTGTAGATTCAAGTTTCTTCAAATCATGACCCCCGGGGCAAGGGTGGGGCCAAAATGGCCGACAAAAGTTTTACATAGGAATATATAGGAAAAATCTTTAAAAATCTTCTTCTCCAGAACCACTGGGCCAAGAAAGATGAAACTCCTGTGGAATCATCCTCAGGTAGAATATATTTTAGGTTTGTTCAAATCATGAACACCGGGGCAAAGGTGGGGCCAAAATGGCCGACCAAAGTTTTACATAGGAATATATAGGAAAAATCTTTAAAAATCTTCTTCTCAAGAACCACTGGGCCAAGAAAGATGAAACTCATGTGGAATCATCCTCAGGTAGTGAAGATTCAAGTTTGTTCAAATCATGACCCCCGGGGCAAGGGTGGGGCCAAAATGGCCGACCCAAGTTTTACATAGGAATATATAGGAAAAATCTTCTTCTCCAGAACCGCTGGGCCAGGAAAGATGAAACTCATGTGGAATCATCCTCAGGTAGTGTAGATTCAAGTTTGTTCAAATCATGACCCCTGGGGCAAGGGTGGGGCCAAAAATGGCCGACCCAAGTTTTATGTAGGAATATATAGGAAATATCTTTAAAAATCCTTCTCAAGAACCACTGGGCCAAGAAAGATGAAACTCATGTGAAATCATCCTCAGGTAGTGTAGATTCAAGTTTGTTCCAATCATGACCCAGGGGGCTAGGGTTGGGCCAAAATGGCCGACCCAAGTTTTACATAGGAATATATAGGGAAATCTTGTAAAATCTTCTTTTCAAGTACTTCAAAGCTATGATTGGTGATATTTATATGGAATCATCCTCAGGTAGTGTAGATTCTAGTTTGTTCAAATGATGAATGCCTTGAGGGGGGGGGGGGGGGAGTAAATTCAAGCCCGATGTGCTCAGGTGAGCGCTGTGGCCCCTGGGCCTCTTGTTTGAAATTTTGTATCAGGAGCATCATGTTAAGTTTTATCAGTTTTTAAACATGATCACATTTGAAAGACATTTTTATAGTCTTCCACTGCATGGGAGAAAAAAGGACTTGACTGAAGATACCAAAATATCAGTTTACAAACATACATGTACGGATGTTAATTTGACATAGAGACTTTCCAAGTGCTGATAGAAATGAGAGAGACATAACTTGACAGCTACATAATGGGAAAAAGGACAATTCATGGTGTGACTAAACTCCAGAAGTTCAGGATTAATGGGAAAAATCGGCAATCAACAGACAGCTAATTGTTTTACAAGCACCTATCCTAGACAAAAAAGATAAAACCGATTATTGATCTCAGCTGGGAAAAATGATTCCGGAAAAATTTGTAGAAGAGAGAAATACAAAAGTGACATTTACAGTGACGATTTGGGAGTGTAATGTAGTTGTATAAAGAATAATGCCATTTGAAATTGATTGAAATTGATATTGATATAAATGAACTGAGGGTATAGGGAGACCAGAGCACATCATTTTTTGTTTGGTATTCAAGTTACGTACGTTTTCTGTGTCAATGCTCCAATTTATCAGTATAACTGAAAATAAAGTGTACTTGTAACGAAAATCACGTGCGCAGTGTATCCCTAACATTTGTAAAGTTGCAAATTAAGAGTCAACGAAATACCGGTATATGTAACGAAAATCACATTTATCGTTAACATTTGTAAAAGCGCAAAAGTCAATTAATGAATTACCGGTGCATGTAACGAAAATCACGTTTATCCCTAACATTTGTAAAAGCGCAAAAGTCGATGAATTACCCGTTATATAACAATGTAAGCCAAAATTTATGATCTTGCTTTACACAAAAATCTATTTATTTTCTGTAGTACTAAACCTTGCCAGTGAAGTTTGACTGATTTAATGAATTTATATGAATTTGAACAAGTACATTCCCTAGATAGTACTTCCTTTGATATATTAATTGTTTGTTTATTTGTTTTACGTTTCATTAGGGAATTTTTTTTTATACCCCCCGCTTGAAAAGCGGTAGGGTATATAGTAATCGGTACGTCTGTCCGTCTGTCTGTTACGCTTTGTGGTAGATATCTCTTATCCGCAACTCCTCTCAAACCACTGAATGAAATGATGAAACTTTCACAGAATCTTTATTACATATTGCCATTATGCACCTCCTATTTTACTTTTTGATCCGGCACATATTTTGGGTTTCCCACAGCAAAACATAGACACTGCCATTATATTCATATGGGAAGCGGGGGGGGGGGGTATTATTTAGTGAGCTCATTGCTCACAGTACCACTAGTTTTCAATCATATAAAGACGCAACCAGTTGCCCATGGAAGGGTCACTCATCAATGGTGCAAAATTATTCCTATACTTAATTGGTGATAGTAAGTATGTCAATTCCATAAACTTCTTCACATTTCAAGGTTAAAAAAGATTTAATTTGCATCGTACTTGTCATAAATTTGCACTAGTTTTTGCTTCACCTTCAAGAAAAATGTCGAAGAAATGTTTAATTCTCTTAGATTTGTATAAACATGAATAAAAAGATTTTTCATTTGCTGAATTCAGTGCTCATACGTTCTAGCGTTTTAAGCCTCTGTAAGAAACTTTCAATTATGTAAATCCCAGTTATTCAGTGTTATATCACGTCCAGAGCCACCTATACAACACACTCATGTGGAGTAAAATTGGCTCTAGACTGGACCTCGTATTTTAAATTGTGCATAGAATATTTGATGCTCGTCGTTTGTTGGCTTGGACTTGATTGTGATTTTTTATCATTATCTTGAAGAATAAACAAATCAGAATGCGGTATCTGTCATGACTTTATACTTTCATCTTTTGCTTTAAGTTTGGTGTTCACTGGTATCCTTGAAACCTGTCAGGCTGACAGGTTGTTTTTCCAATAGGCGCTTGATTTCAGGATGTTGTATTTTGTGTATTGTGTGTTTTTCTAGGTGTGTCTGAATACCCTCATCAAAATAAAAATAAAAATTCGCTGAAATTAGCACGTTTTAAAAATGTCATATTTACTGTATATAAAAAGAGTAGGCGCTTGGTTTCAGGATGGTACTGGGGTGCCTGGGGTGTATTGGTGTGTTTTTCTAGGTGTGTCTGTATACCCTCATCAAAATAAAAATAACAAGAGGCCCATGGGCCTCATAGGTCACCTGAGCATTATGCAACAACTTTCCAGTGATTGAATTTGATTCATGTTTTAAGCCAGATGCTATGGCATTCACAGTTTTGAAAGAGGCACCATTGATCATCATAACTATACACTTAAGAGTTTCTTAGTTTGGTTACTTAATACGCATAGGCAGGGTAGGGGAACAAAAAATGCATTTCAACTAGTCAGTAATATTCAGCAATAATCGGTAGTGTCCCTACCACACACGAACCCCTGACCCTTAGGCCTAGATCCACACATTGCACAATATTTGAAAAGGCATCCTTGCTTTTCAAAAATAATTGATTAATACCAAGGAGCAGATTTCAAACAAGTTTCAGTGTATAAGTACAGCCCCTTCAATGGTACCCCTGACCCTGGGGCCTTGAAATTCACAATTCTGGAAGATTAGGGCCCTTGCTCATCATAACTATATCGGTAGTTCATCTGCTTAATACCCAGGAGTAGAGAAGAAAATTTTCAAAGATTTAATGTATTTTCACTATATAATCAATAGCGCCCTGCCCTAACACCAGAACCCCTGACCCTGGGGCCATAAAATTCACCAAATTGGAAGAGGCATTCTTGCTCATCATAACTATGCACTTAGTTTATTTAATTCCTAGGAACAGAGAAGAAAATTTTCAAAGAATTCATGTATTTTCACTGTATGATCAATAGAGCCCCGCCCTAACACCAGAACCCCTGACCCTGGGGCCATAAAATTCACAATTTTGGTAGAGGCACTCTTGCTCATCATAACTATGCACTTACTTTATTTAATACCTAGGAGCAGAGAAGAAGATTTTCAAAGAATGCATGTATTTTCACTATATAATCAATAGAGCCCCGCCCTAACACCAGAACCCCTGACCCCAGGGGCCATAAAATTCACATTTTTGGTAGAGACACTCTTGCTCATCATAACTATGCACTTAGTTAGTTTATTTAATACCTAGGAGCAGAGAAGAAGATTTTCAAAGAATTCATGTATTTTCACTATATAATCAATGGAGCCCTGCCCTAACACCAGAACCCTTGACCCTGGGGCCATAAGATTCACAATTTTGGTAGAGGCTCTTGCTCATCATAACTATGTACTTAGTTGCTTTATTTAATACCCAGGAGCAGAGAAGAAGATTTTCAAAGAAATAATGCATTTTCACTATATACTTATTTAGCCCCGCCCTAGCACTAGA